TGGGGCAGCCTACTCCCCACACCTCCTCCCCATGCCCCAGGCATCCCCCATCCCTCAAATATTTTCACTTACCCTCCCTGCCTCACATGCCCTGACTCCTGAGAAATCTGACCTGTGCTCTCCCCTTCCCGAACCTGCCCTTCCAGAAACTAAGCGTTGTGGATCAAGAAAAAGTTGACAAATTCATGATTGGGCTGGATGGAACCGAGAATAAGTGTGAGTGAGGGGCTAAAGGAGGGGAAGCGATGGGGCGTGGGAGGGGTGGGGAGAGGAGACCACAGGGGCTGATGGATGGCTGGGGTTATTTCTGTGTCCCACATTTTGGGGCACTGGTAGCTGGAGTTTATTCATTCCACAGGCATTTCCTATGTCTGCTGTCTGCCAGGCCTGGGCCTGGCTCTGGATACAGCCGTGCAGCTGACACATTCCCCTGGGGTGGGGGCTCCCAGAGCTCCTCAGGCGGCAGGGTAGAGGTCTGTTGACAAAATCTTAATGCCCAGTGGCTACCAGCTCTGGATTCTTTCTGGGGTGACCAGAGGGGATGTTCAAAGAGGTAACTTCAAACCCTGCAGGAGAAGCTCTCACCCTTTCTTCCTGCTTGCCTCCTTCCAGCCAAGTTTGGGGCCAATGCCATCCTGGGCGTGTCCTTGGCAGTGTGTAAGGCAGGAGCAGCTGAGAAGGGGGTCCCACTCTACCGACACATCGCAGATCTCGCCGGGAACCCTGACCTCATACTCCCAGTGCCTGTGAGTGCAGCTGCGCCAGCGAGATCTCACCTTGACCGAGCTGCCCCACCCAGCGAGGGGTGGTTAAGCAGCCCCTTGGAAAAAATCCACCTTCCAGACCCAGCTCCAAAGAGGCGGTTTCCTGAAATCCAATCTCTCCTGCTGTGGTCCAGCCCCTCCCTCTTTCCCACAATCCAAACCTTCCCTTAAGCCTCTCTGTGCTTCCTTCCCTTGCCATGTAATCTGGTTCCTTCACATTCCAATCCTAGGCTCAATAACTCCAACCTCATGCCGCCCCTGCACCCCACCCCGCAAATCAGATTGAGAACTTCTTCACCGCAAGGGTCTCGGCATTTCTTTGTCTTCTTGAGTCCTTATTAAACTAATGCCCTCTTAATGGAAACCCTTTGAATTTAATCTTAATGTTACCATTTGTTATTACTTATTAGGAAGATTGTATAAGAGCATGGACTCAGTAGAGACAGACTGCTGAGTTCAAATCCTGGCTCTGCCTGTTTACTAGTTGTGTGATTTTAAGCAAGTTATTTAACCTCTCTATGCCTCCATTTCCTCATCTATAAAATGGTGGTGGTGGGGGGGGTAATAATAGTACCTAGTTAATAAAGGTGTTTTGAGAACGAAATGAGCTAGTGTATGCCAAGCACTTAGTACAGTGCCTGCTGTGTAGTAAGTGCTATAAAAGTGTTAGCTATTGTATACTAGGCACATGCTAAGAACTTTACATCAATTTTTAGAATATTTAGCAAAAATAGATATTGCCTCCTTCCAGCCAAGTTTATTGTCCCCCATTCTATAGAAATGTGGAAAGAGACTCTGAGGAGCAAAATTACTCACCCTCTACCACTCAGCTAGTAAATAGGGAAGCCAGGATTCCACCTCAACCCCTCACGTCCCAGCCCAGGTCTGAGCGCCCTCTCCCATCGCAGGCCTTCAATGTGATCAATGGGGGCTCCCATGCTGGAAACAAGCTGGCCATGCAGGAGTTCATGATTCTGCCTGTGGGAGCCAGCTCCTTCAAGGAGGCCATGCGCATTGGAGCCGAGGTCTACCACCACCTCAAGGGGGTCATCAAGTCCAAGTATGGGAAGGATGCCACCAACGTGGGTGATGAGGGTGGCTTTGCACCCAACATCCTGGAGAACAATGAGGGTCAGTGCTGAGCACCCTGGGGGGCAGAGCCCCTGGGTTCCCCCACGGGAAGGGGAGGCTGCAGACGGGGCACTGGAGTGTGAGGTCCTCTCTTGCTCCTCTTCCAGCCCTGGAGCTGCTGAAGACAGCCATCCAGGCAGCTGGTTACCCAGACAAGGTGGTGATTGGCATGGATGTGGCAGCATCTGAGTTCTATCGTAATGGGAAGTACGATCTTGACTTCAAGTCACCTGATGATCCCGCACGGCACATCAGTGGGGAGAAGCTGGGGGAGCTGTACAAGAGCTTCATCAAAAACTATCCTGGTGAGCCTCCCAGGTGTCCCAGTGTTCCTGCCTGACTCCCCTGCAACTGCCTAACACTGATTTCAGTGTTATCCCCATCCCGGCTCTTCAGACCTGTCACCTCTCCTTGAGGCTCCTTCTGACCTCTCACCCCATCTCTGCTCCCAACCCCATCAGTGGTCTCCATTGAGGACCCCTTTGACCAGGATGACTGGGCCACCTGGACCTCGTTCCTCTCGGGAGTGGACATCCAGATCGTGGGGGATGACCTCACGGTCACCAACCCCAAGAGGATTGCTCAGGCTGTTGAGAAGAAGGCCTGCAACTGTCTGCTGCTGAAGGTCAACCAGATCGGCTCGGTGACCGAATCCATCCAGGCGTGAGTGCCTCCTGACCCTGGGGCTCACCATGCCTCCCTCTGCCCCCACTCCACCCACTCCAGCTACAGTCTTGCCAGCTAACTTCAAGTCTACCTTTCCCCTGGCACCTGACCCACCCACACCTTCTTGGCCTCCAGGCTGTGATTAACTCTCGACCTGACCCCCAAGAGCTTTGCCACTGTGGCCCTGCCATGCCCCAACCCCCAGCCCATGCCATCCCTCTCCCCCAGATGCTGCTGTTCTTCCCACCAGTATCTCAGGAGCCCAAATTCAAGATCAGAAATCTCTTCTCTCCTCCTTCCCAAAGAGCCTAGTCACTGCCTTCCCTGCCAAGTGCCCACTACACAAAACAGAAGGGACAAGCCCCACCCAGCTCCTGGCTTTCCCACTGAGGAGGTCCCATAAGGCCTCATCAAATGTCCTCTCTACCCAGCTGCAAACTGGCTCAGTCTAACGGCTGGGGGGTGATGGTGAGCCACCGCTCAGGGGAAACTGAGGACACATTCATCGCTGACCTTGTGGTGGGGCTCTGCACAGGACAGGTACTTGTGGCTTCCCTCTACTGAGTGTCTGCCCAAGTTTTCTTGGGGTCCCCAGCCTCCTGCCTCTGAGTTAAATGCCACCACAGGCTGCTCCCTTGGGGCCAGGCCCAACCCCTCCTCTCCAGCCTCATTCAAATCCCTCTTCCCTCCTCAGATCAAGACTGGCGCCCCCTGCCGCTCGGAGCGTCTGGCCAAATACAACCAACTCATGAGGTACAGAGGACTTGGGCCCCCGGGAAGCAGGGGGCTGCTGGGTTGGAAGGCAGCAACTCTGACTTTGTCTGCATTCTAGGATTGAGGAGGCTCTCGGGGACAAGGCTGTCTTTGCTGGACGCAAGTTCCGTAACCCGAAGGCCAAGTGAGAAGCTGGAGGCCCCAGGCCCCCACTGGACAGACTGAGGCCTTTTTGAGTCTTTCTTCCTGAAATAAACACTGGTGCCATCCAAGACAGTGGTGTGCTCCTTTGTGGGAGGGAGGGAGGGTATGCTGGTCTCTGGGCTGGGAAAGACAGGGGGTGGAGAGATGGGGGCAGGAGGGGGAGGCAAACAGACATGTATCCTGATGGGACAAAGAAGAGGTGAAGGACTCTGTCCGAGAGGAAGCTGGGTGGATCTAGAACAGAGTTCACATTTTGCAAGGACGTTGGGGGAAGCAGATGCCATACGTGACATGAAGCTGAAGAGGCGCTGATGGAACAAGAACCAGCTCCAGGAGGAGGGGAGCAGGGTGTGGGACCGAGGGTCCTGCCACTCCCATAAGGGGGAAGCTGGAGTGGGCCTGCTGCAGGGTTGAAGTGGTCTGCAGAGTGCACCATGGAGTGAAGGCTGCAGTCCCAGTGAGTGCTTTGTGAGGGTCGGAGTGCTTTTTGTTTTTGTTTTTTTTTGAGACAGAGTCTCACTCTGTTGCCTGGGCGAGTGCCATGACGTCAGCCTAGCTCACAGCAACCTCCAACTCCTGGGCTCAAGCGATCCTCCTGCCTCAGCCTCCTGAGTAGCCAGGACTACAGGACTGCGCCACCACGCAGGCTAATTTTTTCTATTTTTAGTAGAGACAGGGTCTCGCTCTTGCTCAGCTGGTCTTGAACTTCTGAGCTCAAGCGATCTGATTCTCCCACCTCTGCCTCCCACAGTGCTAGGATTACAGGCGTGAGCCACCACACGGGCTGAGGGTGAGAGTGTTAATGACAGCAGCTATCACTACTAGGAAGCTTACGAGAATCTGGAACTGTTCTAAATATTTGACATATATTAACCTGTGCAAACCTTGAAACAGTCCCATCAGATAGCTACCGTTATTATTCCCAGATTACAGATGAAGAAACTGAGGCACAGAAGGTTCAATACCTTATGCAAGGTAACAGAGTTAACTCGGCCAGGCGCGGTGGCTCACGCCTGTAATCCTAGCTCTCTGGGAGGCCGAGGCGGGCGGATTGTTTGAGCTCAGGAGTTCGAAACCAGCCTGAGCAAGAGCGAGACCCCGTCTCTACTAAAAAATAGAAAGAAATTAATTGGACAACTAAAAATATATAGAAAAAATTAGCCGGGCATGGTGGCGCATGTCTGTAGTCTCAGCTACTTGGGAGGCTGAGACAGGAGGATCGCTTGAGCCCAGGAGTTTGAGGTTGCTGTGAGCTAGGCTGATGCCACGGCACTCACTCTAGCCTGGGCAAAAGAGTGAGACTCTGTCTCAAAAAAAAAAAAAAAAAAAACAACTGGCCACTTGGCTCCAGTGATTGCCCTCTTAACATACTGTATCTTATAAATCCCTATGATAGTACCAATAATTGGCCGCCTTTGACCTACACAAATAGCAATTTTACTGTTCAACCTAAAATCATTCCATTTCTTCTCTGCCAGTGGCTCCAGGACCTACCTTTCTGTGTATAAAAAAATCAGGACATTGGGTCAAACAGTGTTTATTGAATGTAAAATAACTCCAGCCCCACGGGGAAGAAAATTCCAAGGAGAATGGAGAACAATACAGATTAAATACCCACCTGTGCATTCACACTCTCTTTCACACGACACGCACACCACATACATATCCGAGCTCTAACAGTGACAAACACCTGCTTCCCCCCAGCTTGAGTGACAGCTGGTCAGAGGTGGTTCAGAGGTGGGGCTCCAGGATGGGTTCTAATAGCAGCAGCCTTGTCCCTCCCTGTCCCCTGCCCTGCCCCAGGGGTCAAAGGGAGCTAGGTGGGGTGCCTAGGAGGTAGGTGGCAACTCTTCCCCGCTCTGCCGCAGACGCTTCTTGGCTCGGATCTCATTCATGGCCTCTTCAATGGAGCGTGTGTCCCTCTTGTTGGCCACGGGCACTGGGGGCAGAGGGGAGGGTGGGGAGGGCCCAGGAGCCCTGTGCCTCGGCCTCCGCTCCCCTCCCCCCTACCCTATCCTCTTCTTCCCTGCCACCCCCGAGCCCGCACTGTGGCCTCACCACAGCCGTAGGTCTTGTTGGCCTGCAGCATGTGGGCCGCATCCTTGGCTGCTCCCTTGCCAATGAGGTGGCTGTACTTGTCCTTGTAGTCGCTGGCAGGGCTCACTACCACAGGTCCCTGTTGGGCTGCCTCCTCCTCCTGCCGCTGGGCCAGCTCCTAGGGGCGTGGGGGTGGGGCGCTGGTGCTCAGGGGCCAGACCTCAACCCCTCCCAGGTGGTGGGCTTCAGGGGCTACCAAGCACAGCTCACCTTCAGCTTCCGTTTCTCCTCAGCTTTCTGGGGGTCCCATTCCTCTCCACGACGGTAGGAGTCTAGCTCTTCATCTGAGGGTGCAAACTCCTGGAAAAAAAGGGAATGATGGGGTAAGGGTCCATATAAATGTTTAATCTCATTCCTCTCCCTGCCGAGGGGTGTGGGGATAGGCTCAAAAGGGGAGAGGAAAGAGTGAGGAACTCGGGCCTTTCACCTTTTTAAAGATCATGACATAGCGACACTCGTCATCTTCCCCAAAGGAGAAGGATGTCAGGCCAGCCACTTCCACCACATCGTGTCTGGGAAGGCGAGGTAGAGGGGAAAGAGTACTTTAAGTTGAACCATGAGGGAGTCTCACACCCACCTCTCGAGAAACCTCCCACTCACCCCTTAATGCCCACCTAGCCACCCATTTCCTGCCTCCCCTAGCCCAGAGACACTCACAGTATACTCCTCTCTATCTTGTTCATTGGATGAAACTTTTTCTTGATCTGCCCACTGTCTTGGATGAAATCTGACACCTCCTTCTCCATCTTGGAAGAGGGAAAAAGAAGATAATATAAGACAATGGCTCCACCAAATGTCCCTCTCCCCAGCTGGGCCAATGACCCTTCTACACCTCCCCAACACCCTCTCCAGCCTCCAGGCCACTAGCTTTCAGGCTTCATCTCTCTCAAGACATTATCAGCAAAACTGAGTCCTCAACCTTCCAATTTTAACTTATTGGAAGTCCTTCCTGAGGCTGCCTTTGAGCTCTCCAGTTGGTCTCACCCTTTTACGAAACTCCACTTTCTGTTGTTTCTCTTGCTCTTGTAGTTTCTTCAGGCGAGCAGCCTGCTCTGGGGGTAAGAAATGGCAGCATGAGGCCGGGGCTGGAAGCATGGGTGGGGAGGGTTTATAAGGCTTCAGGCGAAGTCTGATGTCCACTGGGAGGTGTCAGGCTGGGAAGGTAGGATTACTATTTACTTACCAAGTATTTATCAACATTTATTATGTACAGTGGTTCCCCTTATCTTCAGGGCACATGTTCTAAGACTGAACAGATACCTAAAACCTCAGATAGTACCCTATGTATGTTTTTTCCTATACGTACACACCTGTGATAAAGTTCAATTTATAAATTAGGCACAATAAGAGATTAACAATAATAAAATAGAACAATTACAACAATATACTGTAATAAAAGTTATGTGAATGTGGTCTCTCTCTCTCAAAATATTTTATTGAATGTAATATTGTCAGACTGCAGGTAACTAAAACCTTGGACAGCAAAACTTTGGAAAAGGAGGGACTAGTGTACTGGGCACCATGCTAGAAGCTGGGGTACTAAGATCATTAAGACATGGTGTAGCCCCTTAAGAATTCAAAGTTTAGCAGGAGTGACAAAGATCAGAATCATGCTTAACCCTCTTTCCCAACTCTGCTAGGGAAACAAATGAACACTTATTTAATGCCCACCACATGCAAAGAACTATAAGGCATCTGGGGAGGTGAGGAGAAGAGACTAAGCCCCTGGCCTTCAAGAGTTTATCATCTCATTGTCTACATAGGAAAAGGGAAATTATTTAACTTCCTATATTTTGTAACACCCCTCACTTCCCACTTCTACAGACAGGATGAAGCTGTAATGGCTAAATGACACCCTTCTCCTTTGGGAGTGTAGGTGTCCAAGGTTAGCTGCAAAGGAACTATCCACCCTTGGGTCTTATTTAACTTCTCTCTTCTTCAGATCCTGCCTCTGCAACAGATTTCCTCTGCCTCTGGAGGATGGGAGTGCATTTCTAACCTGGGCCCTCTATTCTTGCCTGTCTTCCCTCATGATGTGATTTTACTGCCTCTTGAGATTTGGGCACATGCCTCTTCCTACTCCTGTTCAACCTGAAATGCCCCCTCTCCTCTCTTCTTCCATTTCAAATCCTTTACATGCTTGAGGCCCACTTCTTCAATAGGATCTGAATCCGCTCCAGCTGCACCGAACTTCTTCCCATTTTTTTAATGCCTCAATGCCTTTGCACATGTTCCTTCTGCTTGGAATGCTTTTGTTCCTCTCATTAACCCTTCAGATCTGTCACGGGTCAGAGTTACTCATGTCTTCCTCTGGGCTCCAAGTGCATTTGGGTCAGACATCCTCTACAGCATGGACTGAGAACTAACATAATATAACTTTTTATTTTTCTCTCCTAGCAGACTATAAGCTTCTGGAAGGCAGGGACCCTGTTCATTTCCTGTTCAGTTATCCTCTGGGGCCCCTGGCAGCCTAGGAGCTCTTATTTCTCTGTCCTCACCGAACATCAGCGCATCCCATCTTGGCCACTGACTGTTCTCTAACTGGTTTTTGAGTCTTCTTTGCATCTGGAGTGGTAGCATAAGATTATGGTTAAGAACATAGGCCTAATAGTCACACCTGGGTTTGAAATGCTGCCATTTACTAACTATATGACCTTAGGCAAGTGACTAAACTCTGAACTTCAGCTTCCTAGTTTGTCAACTGCCGCTGGTGATCCCCCACCTAGACAGTCATTGAGCATTAAATAATTCCAATTCCCCATTCGCATTAAGCTCCCTCTTTCCTCTGAACTTTCAAATAGATGTCTGGTCTGCTTGTAATACTTCGCTTCCCGCTTTCATTTGCTGAATTATCTATTCTTCAGGTCTTGGCTCACTGCAGACTAGGTTAGGACCTGCAAGTAGCTGCCCTCATAATTATTTTTCTTTCAGAGCATTTATCGTGTTGGTTATCAAACTATCGTGTGATCATTTCATCAACAAACGTCTCAGCCCCGGACTGTGGGCTCCTTGAAGGGTACCCCTGGCCCCTGGAAGTTCTGTAAATAAGGGACGATGTTTAGACATTCAGCAGCCCTTGAGCACTTTGAAGGCATCCTGCCTGCCCTGGCCCGTCTCGGGCAGTTAGGGAGCTCGTCCACGGTGAAAGCCTGCAGGGTTGGGAGCTGGGGTCCCCTCCAAGGCACTCGTTCTGCCAGGCTCATCCACACACATCGGGGCCACAGCGCGAGCCACCCCGGGGAGGCCCCGACCGCTCCGCCGGACCGCACCCTACGCAGGCCGCCGGGCTCCAGCCCGCCCGTAGGGAAGCAGGCGGGGAGACTATGGCCAATCGGACCCGGCGGGCATCCCCATCCCTCCAATCAACAGCACGATCCGCCCGGGCAGCTCGGGAATTTAAGGCTACAGAAGGGAAAAGTGTTGTTGGAGGAAGGCAGAAGGGACCGGGTTAAATCAAGCAGGAGGGGCACGGGGACACCGAGAGGACCCAGTAGCCAATGGGAGGTGCTGAGGGTGGGGTGGGTCAGAGGAAGGTCAAACAAGCCTGAGGAGGTAGACCTTTAAGTTGAGCCAGCCAACAGAAGTGAGAAGATTGTGGATGGGTGTGTTGGACGTCCAATCGGAATAAAGATGGAGGTGGGCGAGGCCGGGAAGCGGCGGTGAGGGTATCCTACCAATCAGAGCAGGCCAGCAGCGGACAGGCGGGCCGGTCGGCTAATTGGAAACAAGGACTGCGGAAGGCCAGGGTGGGGCGAAGAGGCGGGGGCTGGAGTTAGGCTTCGGGAGCCAATCATCGTCTGCTAACAACAGCGGGCGGGTCGGCAGCCCTTTTAGGGACTGTGAGGGTCTCTAAAGGGGCTTGTGAGGGGTCTTTCAAGGAGGAGAAGGCAGCATCGTCCAAAGAGGGAAGAGTGCGGTCCTGAGAACCGGGCGAAGAAAAGCAGTTGTGAATTTGGGATCCTCACCTCGGGCCTTGCGCCGAGTCTCCTGGTCACCGAGGCTGGGTGGCTTCTCCATGGAGCTCAGGATGGAGCCCAGTAGGTCCGCCATCTTGGGAGTGACTGAAAGGGGGCGGTGCGTCTTAAAGGGAAGGGCGAAATGCCTTTAAGGCCGGAAACACGTCGGAGGCGGAAAACCACGCGCCCGCCCCGCCCGGGCGCGGATCCGAGGCCCGCCGCGCGTGGGCGCCTCCCGCCGGCCGAGGCCCCACCCCGCCCCGCCCCCCGCAGACAGAGGCCGGAGGCTGGCTGGTGCAGCGATGTTTAATGGCAATTCGTATAAACCAAGCCCATGCACAAGTAGAAAGTGCTCGTGGAGCCGGCAGGAGGCCCCTGCCGCGCCAGGGAACCGCAAGCCCGGCCGTGCAGCCCTCCCCGCGGCGCCTTAAATAGATTCTTCACTATACTCTGTATGTTACAGTATGTACAAGCCCCCTCCCCTCGGGGGACAGGGGCGGGACTCCGCAACGCGTTCCTATGTACAGCCCCTCCCCTTTGGCCCCAGTTGGCGGCCAGAGTCGGGGTGATGGGGGAAGACAGGGCCAGAAAGGGAGGTAACAGACGCAAACATGCGGAGTCGGGGTGGGGGCACAGTCAGCCCTGAAACACGAGGGGCGCGCGCAGCGAAGGCAGAGGTGGGGACTGAGGAGGATACATTCAAGAGACGCGTCGAACAAATAAATAAGGCAAGTCAGGAAGGGGCCGATTGGGGTGCAGGCAGGAGGGAGCTGAGAAGGGGCACGCAGGTGTGTAAATCATGGCTGAAGATGCAGGTGTGGGGGGCATGGGTCTTCTGGAGCCAGAGACCAAAAGAGAGGGGGTACGACCAGGAGGTGTGGGGTGGGGGTGGGGAGGAGGATGGAGGCCTATGAGGGCTCCAACAAAGGTGAAAGGGAAAGCTGCCGACAGGGCTCCCCCTGCCCCAGAAAGCCTTCATCCCTGTTAAGACTGCAAGAAGCGCTCCAGGGTGATGAGAAAGGCGGTAGAGAGGTCAGGTGGCCAGTCCTGGCTGGGGAAGCCCTTCCAGCTCCTGGTTCTGCTTCAATTCCCTCATCCTGCGGAAAGACAAGGAAGGAGTCAAAGGAGACTGGCGGATCAGGGGAGGTGGCAGGGCAAAACCAGGGGAGAGAAGGCATGAGAACCTGTGTCGGCAGCGCCGCAGGAATCTCATGATCTTCCGGGCTGCCTGGTCCTGCTTCTTGGTGAGAAAGGAGCCTCTGGTGGAAGAAAGAAAAGATGGACCTCACAGAACACTCAGGCACCCCATGCCCTCAGCCTTGTAGGAACCCTAGGCAGGGAAGGGTGGGGGACAAGATGATGAGGAAGGGGCATGGACACAGTGGGTAGGCAGAGGGCTCCGGGGCTGGGGCGTACTTGCTGCGGGCAGGCAGGGTGCCCGAGGGCCGGTGGGGAGGCCCGGGCCTGCGGCGGTAGGAGCGGTAGTGCTGCTGGATGAGCACAGCTGCTCGGCGGCTCTGCTGAAATCGTTTCTGCTCATAGTAGCTTCGGAACTTGCTCTGGATCAGGATGGCTGCCTGGGTCATCTTCTTATAGAGTGCAAACTGCAGGGGTGGGGAGAAGAGACAGGGGCTGAAATGGAGGGACACAGACCCAAACCTCTGAGGGTCACCCCCAAGTTAGGCTGATGCAAATCTCTTTCTCTAACCCACACACTCATGGAAAAGCTGAATCATCACAGACATCACACCCGGATCTCATGCCTAATACCTTAAGTGCAATCCAGGTCAGCTTGTGGAAAGAGAAGGGGAGTTAGGGCTCTGGCAACATTCTGGGTGCTCTAGGCTGGAATAGGTGTGTGGGGGTGTGGTTTGGTGGGTATGCTTTTGAAGAAGGGTCTTACCTGCTTGTATTTCCGGTAACAGCGCTGGATCACAGCTGCTGCTACCTCCTGCTGCTCCTTCAGCCGCCGGCCCTGAGGAGAGAGAAAGAAGTCTCAGCACCTCATGGCCTACCTGGTGGACACTTGACCTGTCCCTTCAGCTTTTCTGGGGTCCCCTGACCCCTTGCCCCATCTAAGACCTGTCTGGATAACTGCTCTTCCTCCAACATTCCTGGGACACCAGTCTTCCCTGACCCAAGATTGTGTAATTCATCTTGAGACCCCTGGACCCCTGACCTTGTACTTCCGGAAGGCTGTCTGGATGACTCGGGCTGCCTCATACAGTTCCCGCTGCTCATGATCTGATAGTGTCAACAGGGCAAAATCACTTTCCATCTTGCCACTGGTAGATGCAGAGAGAAACTCTGCCCAGGAAGGTGCTGGGGGAATGGCCAGGCGACCTCGCTCAAAAGGCAGTTCACTGTGGGGATAGGGAAAAGGGTTGTCACAGGGCATCTGGTGGCCCTCTTCTCCCACCAAGGAATTGCCATGAAGGAAAACCCCCAGCAACTGAGTCTGGAATGAGTGGCTTCAGAGTTCATCAGCCAGTTCACTTCCCTTCTCAAAGGCCCTAGGGCCTCAGCCAGAATGAAACTTTGGCTATGGGGAAGCCAGCCTCCTCCCTTCCTCCCATCTTCCTACGAAAAAGAATCTGGAGGTTTTGTCCTGAGCTGGTCACCTGGGAGGGGCTGAGCTGGGGAAATGGTCCACATTATCCAGGTAGCTGGCCAGCCAGGACATGGTCTCGCTGAGCCCCGCAGCCCCTGACCGCTCCCGCATTGAGGCTCCGGCCTCAGGCAGCCCCACGAAGTCCTCTCGTTTAATCCGCTCCGGTGTAGCCTCGATGATCTGTTTGGCCAGTGAGATCATGTCCACCTGGATGACAGGAGAAGCTGAGTGAGCCCTTAGGGGCCCTACCTGCCAGATGTTCCTGCCCTGATTAAGCTGTAACTTTCAGTCCATACCACCAGATGCTGAGGATTCGGGAATTGCTCTCCCTGCTAACCCTGTCTTTCTTAGCGCTGTTCCAGACTCATTCATTTATAATTATTGAATTCCCACTTGGGTATAGCCCTCTGTGCTAACGTTGTGGAGAACATAAGGACATACTCCAAATGAGGATTCAGAAGCTGAGTAAATGGAGGACTTGACATCTTTTCAGGCCAACCAGCCACTGTCCTACCTGGGTCTGCCTTGGGCCTGCCATCCATGCCCACACTGACCCACTTCGGCTCTCTAAGAACCACATGATACGCTGTTGAATGGCTCCTGCCTGGTCTTTGCTCTAGCCCTGAAGCCTGTAGCACTTCTGCTGGCCACACTCAACACAGCCTATCTTGTGGGATTTTCCAGGTTTTTTGTACTTCTAGCACTACCCAATGACTCCATTAGCTTCTCTAAAGCAGATATATCCCGGGGTTTTAGCAGAGAAGTATGAGGCTACACTTGAAGACTCATTCTTTGATTTCATAAAACCTTAGCTTTTACCATGTGCAAGCCTCCTTCCCACCTCAGATCACTGCCACATACCTCCATCTTGCCAACCTGCTGCTCCACACACCTCCCAGCTGCCGTCCATCACCCTGGTTCCCCAAAAACCTTTTCCTTTCATGGATCAACAGGAAACTCCTACAACCCAGCTCTAACTGAAGACATTCCCAGGATTTTTAACCTTTGCTCCCTGATGACTTCTTACTTACAAGGTCTGAAAGGAGCTAAGCAAAGGGTTACCTTGCTTGTCCTCAAATGAAGGTAAATGGCCCCTTCCCAATTTGAAGCCAGACTCTGATTGTGCTTCATGGAATAGTCTGCCTCACCCTACTTCTGCACCCCACTCCACTTCTAGCCCTCATAATTCCATCAACATGAGCAGTACCGGGATCACATCCACAGCCTGTGGCCTGTCAGGATCCTCTGGAGCAGCCTCATCATCTGGGGCTGGCGGGAGGGCAGGAGGGGAGGCTGGGGGCCCTTTGGAATTGGTGGCCTCATAATCCATGAGGAGTAGGGGAGCCTCTGGGGCACCAGAGGAGAGCTGGCCTGGGACCATCTCCTCCATAGTAATCTCAGAGGCAGGCAGAGGAGCAGGGGGAGGACTGCCATCTGGGGCACTAGAATAGGCTGATGTGATGGAGAAAGTGCCATCCGACAGCTCCGAGGGCGAGGAGACGCTGCTCAGACCTGTGCAGTGAGGGAAGAGGGTGAGGGCAGCAGGAGCCATCAGCCAGCCCTCAAGTCTCCTGCCTCCCCCATCCTCGTTTTCAGTCTCCCTGTCTGTTCTTGCTCCTGTTACCCCCCCACCCCTGCCTATTCCTCAGTTTGCCTCCTCTCACTTTCTGTCTCCACCCTTTGGCATTGCCTTGGCCTATCCTTCAACCCACATCCCTTTCTCAACAAGACTGGGGGCAGCCCTCACCAGTGTCTGGGCTCGAGGATGGTGGCAATAGGGCAAGTGGGGGCTCAACTGAAGCCTCCTGTCTCTGCAGTTCCTCAAGGCAGCGGGCAAGGCGCACATGACCCCGGGAATGAGCCACGGACAAGGGTAGACGGCCCAGAGAGTCGGGAATGCTCAGCGCCTGTCGGTTCCAACGGAAAAGGAGCACAGCAGCTTCCAGGTGTCCCAGGGCACAAGCCCACATCTGAGGAGAGGGGCAGGAAGCGGGGCGGGGAGGTGGGGGTGCAGGTGAGGCCCAGAGCTCCTCCCCAGGTGGCCACATCTTCAGACCCCAGCCCACCCCACTCCCTGCATCCCCCAAAGGATCTTTCCTTTGAAGCACCATTCCCGTTGCCCCAAATGCACTCAGGAATCCAGCATCCTCACCAGAGGGGTACAAGAGAAGTGATCCACGTTGAGGGGGTCAACCTCTTGCTCTAAGTCCAAGCTTCCAGTCTCCACGCTCCTGGAGAGTTTGGGAGAGGGACAGCAGAGCACAGTCAGGGAAAAAGCAGGCAAAGTAAGAATAAGAAGTAAAGGGACTGGGAAGTGAGCAGTCTAGAAGCACTAAGGCCAGTGGGATGAGGCAAAGAGACTAATCAGCTGAACGAGTCAAGATGTCAAAGTGTCATAAGTCAGGGGATATTAAAGTTCCCCAAAATGTAAGTCCTCCCAGCCCCTCTCCCTTCCCACAATGACCCCAAGTTCCCTCTTGGCTCCCCCAGGTCCTCTGGTTCCTCCTCAGTCCTCTGGCACTTATGTCCCAGGGGCTGCCCAGCCCCTTCCCTGCTGCCCCTGCTTAC